GAGCATGGTCAGTCAGCAAAAGTCAAGAAAAGAGGGGAAACACAGAAAGAAAATAATATAACTTAACACATGATAAAGTTGCAGGAATAAGATAAAAATAAATATGACTAGATTAAATTCTTCTAATAAAATTAGTGACTCTCAGATTGTTTAAAAAGATTAACTATATACTGTCTTTAGGAGTCATATGTATAGCAAAATAACACAAAAGAGGGGATAGGTTAGTGAATGCTAACAAAACAGAAATCAGGACAGTAATATTAATATTTAAAAATGTAGGATTGAGGCCGGGCGCGGTGGCTCAAGTCTGTAATCCCAGCACTTTGGGAGGCCGAGGCGGGTGGATCACGAGGTAAAGAGATCAAGACCATCCTGGTCAACATAGTGAAACCCCATCTCTACTAAAAAAAATACAAAAAATTAGCTGGGCATGGTGGCGCGTGCCTGTAATCCCAGCTACTAAGGAGGCTGAGGCAGGAGAATTGCCTGAACCCAGGAGGCGGAGGTTGCAGTGAGCCGAGATCGCGCCATTGCACTCCAGCCTGGGTAACAAGAGCGAAACTCCGTCTCGAAAAAAAAAAAAAAAAAAAAAAAAAATGTAGGATTGAATGTAAAAAAAATACTGAATGAGACATAGAATAAGGAATACAACTCCAACAAGAGGATTTAACAATAATGAACCTTTATGCACTGAGTATCCTAGCACTGAAAAATCGGTTAAAAATACAAATAAAATAATATAGGCCAGGTATGGTGGCTCATGCCTATAATCCCAACACTTTGGGAGGCTGAGGCAGGTGGATCACTTGAGGTCAGGAGTTCAAGACCAGTCTAGCCAACATGCGAAACCCTGTCTCTACTAAAAATACAAAAAATTAGCCGGATGTGGTAGTGGGTGCCTGTAATTCCAGCTACGTGGGAAGCTGAGGCTTAAAAATCACCTGAACCAAGGAGGTGGAGGCTGCAGTGAGCTGAGATTGCACCATTGCACTCCACCCTGGGTAATGGAGTGAGACTCTGTCTCTCTCTCTCTCTCTCTCTCTCTCTCTCTCTCTCTCTCACACACACACACACACACACACACCTATTAATAAAATACCTATTAATAAAATAAAAATTGTTTAAATACAAATGAAGTTTTTCATGATAGTGGGAGACTAACAAAATGCTTTCAATATTTGATCAAGTAGACAAAAATAAATAAGAACAGAATATTTGAATAGCATCATCATCATTATTGACTTAACCCCATAGGAAATACACACAATTTTTTAAAAGACCATGGATCATTTACAAAAATTGATTAAACACTCAACCACAAAGAAAATGTTCAGTTAACAAAAAGTAGACATGTATTGGCCACTATAATAATACAGTATCATTGAAAATTAATACAAGATGGTTCCTGCCTCCACCTTTATCTAAGCACTTAGAAGTTAAGATATGATCCTTCTAAATAATCCTTGGGTCAAGAAAACCAGTACTGAAAGTATAGACTATTTAAAAATTAACAATGAGAATATAATGCATCAAAATGTATGGAATAGGACTAAAAATACACTTAAATAATTCAAAGCTTTTATTTTAAAGGACTGGAAAAAAATATTGTGACATAAGCAGCTAATAAAATAAAATAAAGCAAAATAAAGTGGCGAGAAGGAAATAATAAATGTGGAGGAGGCGCCAGGCACAGTGGCTCACACCTGTAATCCCAGTGCCTTGGGGGACTGAGGTAGGAGGATCATTTGAGGGCAGGAGTTCAAGGTTACCACAAGCTATGATCATGCCTCTGCACTCCAGCCTGGGCGACAGAGGGAGACCCTGTCTCAAAAAAAATAAATAAAAGTAGAGGAGGGAAATAATGAAGATAAAGCAGAAGAAAATTAGAATTGACAGTAAAGCAAGAGTGCAGGGTCCCCAGGAGAGCTGCTGCAATGAGAATGGAAAGCTGAGACAATGGGGTATAAGACACTATCCCTGCCCTCCTTGCAGCTTAGGTTTGGTTGAGGTGAAAAGCATGTGCAGAAAATAGAGAATAGGACTGTATTCAATAAAGTGGTCATTTATGAGTATAGCAGTTGGTATTCTATCTATGGCATGGTAAGTAGCAGTTAGGCCTTAAGTCTCTGCACAGATAGAACTGAATCTGTATGTTGGCTTCAAACTTATCAAGAGACTCTGGAGAGGTTAGTTAGCTTCATTAAGCTTGATTACTCTATCTGTAAAGTAGAGATCACGGTACCTACCTCACAGGATTATAATGAGAATTAAATGAAAATATGTATGTAAAGCACTTAGCTCAATGTCTGGCATGTGGTACAGGCCTGGTAAATGGTTGCTGAAAAAAGTCAGTGCAGCATCTCTTCCAGTCCCTTCTGGATACTGCTGGGATGATTGAAGCACTATCAGTATTTTGGTACATTTTATACAGGAGTGGGACAGTAAATAGTATTTAGAGTAGCCAAGTTCTGCCTACCTGGATGAAAAGATTGAGCATTTTGTCTGTGACCATTTGTAAGATACGCCAGTGGGAAATGGTTGAATTAGTCTCTGTCCATTAAAAGAAAAAACAAAATCTGTAAAGCATCATGCTCCAAGATAACAGTAGTTCATTAGTTGGAGAGAAAATCCTGGAAACAGAGGGGACTCCTGGCCAGTCCTGCCACTCTGCACTTATTTGTCTGTCTCAGTAAGAAAGCAGAAGCAAGGAGACCTTTGGATCTGCCTGCTGACCAGTCAGCACATTTGCTCCTCATCAGCCAGCCTGAAATTCCATTCTCACAACCATTCGGTGTCAACATTAGGCTGTGCAGGCATGATAATGGACTCTTGAGATCTTGGAAACATAATGGAGTAAACACAGAAGGAGTCAGTAAACCCAGAAAAGAATTTAACACCTTCCCTTATCCTTCTGCACATGGATATCCAGTGTTCCCAACACCATTTATTGAAGAGACTGTCTCTTACTCAGTATGTGTTCTTGACACTTTTGTTGAGTGGTAGTTGGGTGTAAGTGCATGAATTTATTTCTGGGATCTGTTCTGTTCCATTGGTCTGTGTGTCTGTTTTTATTCCAGTACATGCAGTTTTGTTGACTATAGCTTTGTAGTATATTTTGAAGGCAGGCAGGCCTTCAGCTTTGTTCTCTTTGCTCAGGATTGCTTTTGCTATTTGGGATCTTTTATGGTTTCATATGAATTTCAGGATTTTTTTCTTGTTTCTGTGAAGAATGTCATTGGTATATTGATAGGGATTGCATTAAACCTGTAGATTGCTTTGGGTAGGTTGGCCATTTTAACAATATTAATTCTTCAAATCCATGAATATGGGATATCTTTTCATATATTTGTGTCCTCTTCAATTTCTTTCATCAAAGTTTTATAGTTTTTAGTGTAGAGATATTTTACCGCCTTGGTTAAGTTCATTGTTAGGTATCTCTTTTTGTAGCTATTGTAAATAGAATTGTCTCCTTTAATCTCTTTTTTATATAGCTCACTATTAGCACTTAGAAATGCTACTGATTTTTATGCATTGATTTTGTATCCTGCAACTTTATTGAATTTGTTTATTAGGACTAATCGTTTTTTGGTGGAGCCTTTAGGGCTTTTTGTATCTAAGGTCATGTCATCTGCAAACAGGGACAGTGTGACTTTCTCTTTTCCAATTTGGATGTGCCTATTTATTTCTCTTGCCTAATTGCTTTAGGTAGGACATGCAGAAGAATGAAGCTAAATCCCTGCCATTCATCATATACAAAAATCAACTCAAAGTAGATTAAAAACATAAGTGTAAAACCTGAAACTATAAAACTACTAGAAGAAAACATAGGAAAAATGCTTCTTGACATTGGTCTGGACAGAGATTTTAAAAATAAGACCTCGAAAGCACAGGCAACAAAGCAAAAATAGACAAATGGGAATACATCAAACTAAAAAACTTTTGCACAGCAAAGAAAACTATTCAGAGTGAAGAAACCATCTACTGAATGGAAGAAGATATTTGCAAACCATACATCTGACAAGGGGTTAACATCCAGGCTATATAAGGAACTAAAAGAGAGAGGGAAAAAACCCAAGTAACTTGATTTAAAATGGACAAAATTGTAATCCTAGCACATTGGCAGGATGAGGTGGGAGGAGCCCAGGAGTTCGAGACCACCCTAGGTGACAAAGTGAGACCCCGTCTCTACAAAAAATTTAAAAATTAGCCAGGTGTGATAACGCATGCCTGTAGTCTTAGCTACTCAAAAGGCCAAGTCAGGAGGGTCACTTAAGCCTCAGAGATTGAGGCTGCAGTGAGCTATGATCATGCCACTAGACTCCAGCTTGGGCATGACAGAGTGAGACCGTCTCAAAAATAAAAATGGACAAAAGACCTTGGTAGACATTTCTCCAAAGAAGACATACAAATGTCTAGCATCACTGTTCATCAGAGAAATGCAAGTCAAAACCACAGTGAGATATGCCTCACTCTATTCAGAAAGACTAATATCAAAAGAACAAAAGGAAACAAGTGTTGGGCAAGGATGTGGAAGAAAGGGGACAATTATCGCTGTTGGTGGGACTGTAAACTAGTTCAGCCATTATGAAAAATAGTATGGGTCAGGATCTGGAAGAATTTGCAAAAAAAAGAAAAAACGAACAAAAAAGAAAGTAGTATGGAGATTTCAAAAAAATATTAAAAATAGAACGACCATATGGTCCAGCAGTCCCACTACTGGGTATGTATATTCAAAGGAAATGAGATCATTATGTTGAAGCGGTATCTGCCCTCCATATTTATTGTAGCACTATTTACAATAGCCAAGATATAGGAATCAATGTAAATGTCCAACAAATAAAACGTGGTATAGATACACAATAGAATACCATGCAGGCATAAAAATGAATAAAGTTCTGTCATTTGTGACAACATGGGTGAACCCAGAAGACTCATATTAAGTGAAATAAGCCAGACACAGAAAGGCAAAATACCACATGCTCTCACTTATATATGGAATCTTTAAAAAAAAAAAAAAAAGGCTGATATCATAGAAGCAGGGAATAGAACAGATGGTTACCAGAGACTGGGGAGGGAGGGGAAGATGGGGTCAGCAGGTACAAAGCTACAATGAGACAGGAGGAGTGAATTCTGGTGCACTGTTGCACAGTAGGGAGGCTATGGTTAATGGTAAAATACTGTATTTTATAAAATAGCCAGGAGACGGGTGTTTGAATGTTCTTATCACAAATAAATGATAAATACATGAGTTAATGGATATGCTAACTACCCTGATTGGCTCATTATACAACATAGATATGTATCAAAACATCAAATTGTGCCCCATAAATATGTGCAGTTACAATGTCAATTTTAAAAGTAAAATTAAATAGACTCCCTCTTTTTAATTTATATCAATATCTGTATTTTATCTATATTTAGGACTTGATGAGAATTTGTAGCTTGAGGTAAAGTTAGAATGTATTTGGAGTAGAATGTATCTTGAGATTTTTTAATATCTGCACATGCTACACATCAAACCACTTTAGTCAAAATATTTGTTCAGTGGGAAAAAAATCAGTGAAAATAAATTATATCTCTTAGTCCAAACAGAAAGTAATTGACTGATCTATTTCCTCCCTTCTCAAAACACCATCAACTGTAAGATGTAACATCAAATTACTAACAGGTAAAGAGGAAAAACAAGACATGACATTAAATGCACACTTTGATTCCAGGAATGTTAAAATGTGTAGGGAAAAAAACCCTACCAGTACAACCATGCATCTTGGGATTAAGCCAGTGCAGAATTTCACTCACTGGGTGTTATGGTGTTTTGCAGCTGGTGGAGGCTAGGTAGGACTAATTTTATTAATGTAATTAAACAAAATTTTTTATTAATGCACATGGGCAGAACTAGTGAATATTGAAGACACATGTTTTCTCAAGCCCATCAGTTTATTTTTGTATTCTTTAACAAAACAATAAAAAAGAAACCAAAATCATGGACAATTGGGGAGGTACTATACATGGTGAGCCTGGAGCATCTTGTAGGGCTGGAAAGTGAGGAAGTACTTAAAAATAAACAAACAAAAAGCACTGATAGGAGTATGTGAGAGGAGCACAGAAACCAATGGTAAGAACTCCCAGTGGCCAAACCTGGAAGAGTTTGCGCAACAGTTTAATTTGAGTACTGTTGAATTAAAATGCAAAGCCTAAAGTAAATATGCACACAGCCATACTGGTATGAATAAATGATCGAATACATTAATAAATTTGTAGAAGAGACAAATCTTCCATGCAGAAGGATTCCAAATAATTTATATAAACACTCTACCTTGAAGGACTTTATTCCAAAGAGTATGGTATAGAAAGGTGGGGAGGAGCAGGGAGCAACTTTACAATGGAGAAACCCGACACCCACTGCCTCAGCCAGGTGATCAAGGCCAACATCAACAGTACTAAATCATGTTAATAGTACATACATCTGATGCGATGTGATTAAAATGGCACTTCACCTGTGTGACCCTCCTCCAAATAACACATAACCCCAGTCTTAAGGGGAAAAACACCAAACAAATCCCAATTGTAGCACAGTCTACAAAATACCGGACTAGTATTTCTCAAAACTGTCCTCAAAAACAGGGAAAGTCTGAGAAACTGCCCCAACCAAGTGTAGCATAAGAAGACACAATGACTAAATGTAATGTGGAGTCTTGCATGGGATCCTGGAACAGATGAAGGACACTAGGTAAGAACCAAGGACATCTGAATTAACTGTGGACTTTAGTTAATAATAATGTATCACTATTGCTTTATTAATTGTTACTTATGTATCATACTGAATATAAGAAGTATTTAATAGGGAAGATTGGGTATAGGATATACGGGAACTCTGTACTGCCCTCTCAATTTTTCTATAAATCTGTTAACTGTTCTGAAATGTAAAGTGTATTAAAATTTTTAAATGCCTAAACAGAAAAAAAATAAATCATGGACAGAAAGCCAGGTTAGGGATTTTAATGGAAAATTATGAAGCATTTTATTAAGGCCTTTAAAAATTCCATACAGAACACGGCTTAAGCAGAACATATGCAGCTGCTTAGTTGAAAAATGGAACTGGCAGCTTTACTCAGAATCTGACACTTCTAAATACATTCAAATTGAGTCATTATTATTTTTCATCTACGTAGTATTTTGTTTTTCCAAAGTTCTTGCAATTTCTGACTCTGAGATGGCAAAATTTTACCATTATTCCTATTTTAAAGCTAATGCCATGTCTATAGCTTGGACAGCCATTTTGACTCAACTGTCTAAGCTAAATGTCAATTCAATCAGAAAACCAGCCATCAGCTGTCAGATGGTAAAAGAGTTATGTGTGTTTTCAAAGCCAGAAGTGCAGTCATGTGGTGAGACTGCAGGGTTTTACTGTTGTCCACAGCTGAGTCCCAGGACTGGTTTCCTTACTCCGTACTCTCACATGGAAAACTTCATTGGGGAATTATAGGGTAATATTTTCAAGACTAGGAACTTGTTCACAGTTACCTTTCTAAAAAACAAAAACAAAAAAGACCTTTAAAAGCATTTTTAAAAAAAAAATTATGCCAGGGTAGCCAAACAGAAACAACTTTGGGGTTTTTGCACTGAGTCAAGTCTTACAAATTGTGGAACATTCCCCTTGGTCCAGGACATCATTTTACTCCCACTCACCACTTCCTATACCCACAAATTCCAGTATGTTTGGACCTTGCTGGTGTCTCAGGGAATCACAAAAAGAAACAGGAAGGCACCAGCGAGCAGAACAAGAAAGCTAGACATGGTGCCGTTGGGCTTGTGGCTTAGTCCCTGCCCCACCTCTCCTCCAGCCTCTCCAGCCGTACAGGGCAGAGAGGGTCACAGCCGGCACTCTTCTGGTGCTCTTGCCAGGCCTACATCACAGCCCCCATGGCCAGGACTCACACGCTCCCAGGAACCCAGCGCCGTCCGGGAGGAAGATGATGCCCAGCCCTTTCAAAGGAAATTAAAAGTCTGGCACATGTTGGAGCTCAGCAGGAGGGAAATGTTTCCCAGTTATTTAGCCCTGGAAGGCTGAGAATCAAGTGGTTTTGTTTTCCGAACCGACAGTTGGGGCACACTATCTGACAGCATGACCACATGTGAACTTGAGACAGTTCCAGGAAATTTGGGGTGTGTAGCCGTGGTTGCTGCAGGATCCAAAAATATGAACAAAAGCCTGAGTGTCCTCCTTTGATGGTGGTGCCCTCCAGAGAGGAGTGTGGGGACATCCTGGGTGCAGCAGCATCGAGGGCCCTTCCTCAGCAGCCTCGAGGGTGGCAGTACCAGGGGCTGTCCTGATGACAGCAGAGACCCAAGCCCAGGACTCCTCTGTGAACTCTCAGCCCTTTCTCAGCTGCTGAACTCCAGCCTCAAGATGGGCGACCCTGGGGCTGAAGACTGTCTCTCCCTTCCTCCTTCACCTTCCTCTTTAGTCAGGAGTGCCTGGAATCTAGGCATGATTACCCCTGGCTTATGTCCTCTTTACCTGTGTCCTGGGAACACCCAAAACAAGCTGGAGGAGACAATCATTTCTGCAGACACAGGGTTACCCCCATGTGAAGCAAGCAGCAAATCGATCTTATCACATGCCTCTGACCGGTTAGGGAGGCGAGTCAAGAAGGTGCAGTGAGGAAGTGTAATGTCACATGCAACATTTACAGGAAACTGGCTAGAAGACAGCAGGGGAACTCAAGAACTTGGGTGTTTTCAGCGGATTAAAACAACACAGGTTAGTGCTTTCCCCCACCTGAAAAACTTTTCATAGCCACTCTAAAATACCTAATTCTCTTTCCTTGAACTGTCTTTAACAATTTCTCTAATGTGTAGAACTTGCTTTTTGGCTTTGAATATAAGAGCCAGCGCACAGCTAGTAACTGCACGTTGTTAGAGGAACAAACATTGAGCCATTATGGTGAAAATGAAATTCTCAGAATCTCTTGCTTCCCTGTTTAGAACTTCTCTGCCTCTGAAAGAACGAAACTTCAGACATTCTTTAAATAACTTATTTCGTGGAATTCAGCTAGACCTCTTGTCATTTTTACCTATTAATGTAAATGTGAAACGGGACAGATCAGCCTGTGTTTGCAGACGTGTGGGGCACTCAAAGGATGTTTGAAAATATAGAAATATTATGCATAAAAATGTGCTTGTAAGGTTATATGCAAAAGTTTGTTATTTTATGGGGTTTTATCTCATAAAACCCATCTTTTGGCTTGAATTTCTTGTTAAAATAATTTCTCATGTCATTGTAAATCCTTGTTTCCTTTTTTATTTTTTCACTCTTCTCCTTCCCCTTTTTCCCCCCCTCCCCTCTCTTACTAACACAAAATGGGAGTAGAGAAGCAGCAGTAGGGACAGCTTGAATATGAGACGAGGAAATCCTTTGCCCAGTACCAGAGTTTAAGAAGCAGGCACGCCCGGAGCAAAAGCCGAGCAGGCCCTGAAGAAACCATGAGGTGTGATAGTTGCCAGAGCTTTCTGTCTTCAGCCTTGTGCTTCCTAGAGAAGTCTGCAAAAGAGCCAGAAAGACGTCTAGAGGAGTGGGAAGCAGGAGCCCAGAAACATAAAAGGCCCAGGATTATCCCTCCTATGGCCAATGAGGGACAGTTCAATTACACAGTGGCCTGCTGCTTTCAGACCTAATGTAGAGAAAGAAAACGTCTCAAATCTGAGTTAAGAGAAGGAAGTTCCTACATTGTGGGAACATTACTGTCTTTCAGCTCCAGGACAGGCTAACCAGAGAGGCTGCTGAGCTTTTTCTGGGTGTTTTTGGAAAACATTCTAGATGGTTGCTTTGACTGTGTTAATGTGTTAACTGAGATGGGGAGGATAATGAGGACAGGAGATCAAGATCAGGAACTTCCTGTTTCATGTCTTCATTCCAGCCCAAAGTGTTGTAAAATGTGTCTGTACTGAAAAACAACGAAGGAGTGAGGGGCTGTTTGTGGACTCACGTGTTTATATCCAAGTAACGCCAAATAACTAGAGCAGTGGTGAAAGAGAAAAATCATGGTTGATTCTGTCCTCCAATTGCCACATTTTTTTAAAAAATATTTTACTACCAAGTTGAACAAGAAGATGGAGAGAAAGCTGACAGAGAATAAGGGAAGATTCTAAGCTGGACGTGTGAGCCCTAGTGGTTTCAGAAATCCTGTACACGCTCTGACAGTGTCAGCCCACATCATTGGGTGTGGGGGGTTGGAGGGAAGATTGGATTAATCGCTGGCTGGGGCCCTTTGCACAAATGCTGTAGGAGACACGCACATGGAAGCTGCAGTAGGAAGGCCTCTTGCACCTGCCCTTGAGCACCAGGAAGAGGCTTACAACTTAGCAGTGGCTGTACATCCCTCGAAGGAGCTCTCCTTTCAGTTTTGTTTCGCTTTGTTGATTATACAGCCTTCCTGTTCCAGAAGTTTTATATTCTGCAAATCTGCTGCTCTTAGTGGAAAGGGACTTTTTATGTGGTTGGAACACTTTTTTTTTTTTGAGATGGAGTTTTGCTCTTGTCACCCAGACTGGAGTGCAATGGCACTGTATTGGCTCACTGCAACCCCCGCTTCCCGGGTTCAAGTGATTCTCCTGTCTCAGCCTCCCAAGAAGCTGGGATTACAGGCATGGGTCACCATGCATGGCTAATTTTTTATTTTTAGTAGAGATGGGGTTTCACTATGTTGGTCAGGCTGGTCTCAAACTCCTGACTTCAGGTGACCTACCCTCCTTGGCCCCCCAAAGTGCTGGGGTTATAGGCGTGATCCACTGCACCCAGCTTCCTGATGTCATTTTTGTAAATGCATCCTTCCAAAAGCTGTTTGTATTTCTTCTGGGGGTCCTTATTCTCTCCTATTTCTCAGCCCCTTCCCCATCTTTCCACTTCACTACACTGTGTTCCTTTGTGTTTGAGATGCAAAAAAAGGTTGATAAAGTGTCATCATTGTACACTACCTCTGACCCAGGTTCTGAAAAAAACAGTGGAAACACAGAAGGGCAGAAGGTAACAGATCCTGTTGGGTGGTAGCACCTGGAGTGTTAATCTTGCATGTAATTTTTAGATAAGAATGACTGCCAGTTGAATACTGAGTTGAATTTAAAGGTCAAAGTGGAAAGAGACAAATGGTCACCTTTAATCTGGAGAAAACATGGTGGATTTTGTGGGGAGGAACAGTATGGGCACATTCCTGAACTCTCTAAAGAGAAGAGGTATGAGGCTGACTTCACAAATCTCTCTTCTTCCTCAGACCCAATATAGGCAGGCCTCTTCTACCTGAATCCCAGATAATACCAGAGTGCGCTGTGGGTCGACATCCACAGATGTCTGGGTGACTCTGGTTTCAGAGGGATAAAATGGTGATATACACCAAACATTCATGCTAGTGGGGAAAAGGAAGTTAAGCTCTGGCAAGTGCAACTTTTACAACTGAACTCATCCTTAGTATCATTCTGAGTTGGCATGAACAAATCTGGAGGCCCAGCTCTCTGGATTTCTCAGGAGGAAGTTCCTGGGCATTTGTAAGGTATTACTGTTATCACCATCATATTGGGAAATACTAAGAACCATAGGGTTTGTGTGTGTGTGTGGGGGGGTAGGTGTTAATTTTGATAAAAGACACATAACAAAATTTACCATGTTAACCATTAAGCATACAGTTCAGTAGCGTTAAGTATATTTGCATTATGCAGCCAGTCTCCAGAACTCTTTATTTTGCAAAACTGAAACTTATACCCATTAAGCAAGAACTCCCCATTCCCTCTTTCCCAACTCTTGGCAGCCACCATTCTACCTTCTGTCTTTATGAAATTGACTTTTCTAGGTACCTTGTATAGGTCGAATTATACAGTATTTGTCTTTCTGTGACTGCTTTATTTTACTTAGCCTAATGTCCTTAAGGTTCATTAGCACGTGTCGAATATTCCTTCCTTTTTAAGGCCAAACATATTTGTATGTATGTATCACGTTTTCTTTATCCTTTCATTCATCAGTGGACATTTGGGCTGCTTCTGCTTTTTCACCATTGTGACTAATGTTGTCAACGTGGGTTTGCGCATATCTCTTTGAGATCCTGCATTCAGTTCCTTTGGTATGTCTCCAGAAGTGAAATTCCTGGATCATATGGTAATTCTATGTTTGGCTTCTAAGAATTATCCAGTAATTGTGTCTTTTTATACCACTCTCCCTCCCAAAACACAGACTTGAAGATACCTCATATTACAAGATCATTATCAATTTTCTTCAAGAATGCCTAAAGGTTCATGTCTTGCTTCTGAGCAGTAAGGATGCAGAGGGAACTTGGGCTGTTGTCTCAGGAAAAGTAGCAGGACCAGTGTGGCTATTCTGGGGGGCTGGCCATGGTAGGTGGTTAGATTACAGATTCTATGATTCTATGCAAGGAAATGGTAGGAAAGATATGATAGACAGCCTGACACCATGCTGTGTGGTGATTCTTTTGCTGGAGATGTTGTCTCCTGACTAAAATATCATTAATACTAATGTATACTCTGGGAAGGGATTGCCTATATGCCTGGTTGATTTTTCACTCTGCCATTTCAATTCTATTTCTTCATCAGTCAGAAGGTTGGTTCTGTTTAAAGAAAAAAAAAAAAAAGCTTTAAGTGTCCTCTTCTCCCAAAAAAGGCAACAGAAAATGACAAGAAGAGTTGTATTTGTTTATGAAAGTGCATAGAAAGCTTTTCCCGGAAAAGAATAAACTGGGAAAAGATGAGTCCTTGAAGTAGAACCCTGTCATAGTGCAACAAACTGAATTTAAGAGACACCTGTTTCCAGCTTGTACAACATCCAATGCCAGTTCCACAGTAGGTATTCACATGCCACTCGGATTATTTCTCAATGCTAATGAGAAGCTACTGCTTTGAGACTGTCTCACCAGCTAGACACTTACCAGACTTTGTTTTGATATTTTCTGGTATGAATTAGGCTTCCTTTCTAGTTGTGTCCATGCCCAGATATGACATATTTTAAGTTAACTCATTGTATTGGTTTGTAACCTAGTGTGGCTTAAAAACAAAAGAGTCATTTGTTGTAGTAGGATATGTGCTCGCACACACAAATATACATGTGTGTATGTGTGTGTGCATAATGGGAGGAATTCTCTAGGGCATATGTTTCCTAAATTAGAAGTGATATCTTGGAGCTTACAATTATTTGGAATACTGCTATCTATCTTCAGACTAGGAGATTATACATGTGTTATACAGAGAGGAGGGTTTGCTAGTAAACTGTAATTATTTCAGTAAGTCACTGCTTTATTGAATGGTGGTGATTTGGAATATCTTCTTTGATTTCCAGGCCAGCAATGGAGAGATTTGGTCTTCCTTAAAGGCTTTAGAGACTGGTAGAATGAACTTAACTCCTGAAAACTGGGTGTGGGGCCAATAGCTCACCAGCCTGCTATGCGGAAGGCTGGATGGAGGGGCTGCTAAAGGAGGAGAACTGGTGTTCCAACTCCACCTTCTCATGCAGTGTGACTTCTCAGGCAAGTCCCAGTTTAGAAGTCATCTAACTAAGTAAACATTCTTGAACTGCCACCAGGAAGTTCCTAAAACCTTTTTCTAAGCAAAAAATATATGCTTTCAGTCTTTCTCCTCTTCCCTCTGCTTTTCCTCTTCTCTCTACTCCCTACTTTCCCCTCTGCCATTTCATGCCCATTACCTTCTGAAAGCTCAGGTCAGAACTCACCTACGTGGACAGACTGCTTCCTTCCTTGGCCCTGTCTC